CATCAAACCTTAACCTGGGGTTTGGATTTTATCTCGTAGGTGATAGTATTGACTATTTAAAATTGGAAGTTAGTGTAAAAGAAATTAGGAAGAGTAATGTAAAAGAATCTTTAAGACGATTTGAGTCAGAATATATCCCTACTTTTGGTCCTGTTTTTCCTTCCTGTTCTTCTACTCTGCTTTCAGTCAGAGTAATCTTTAAAATGATTTCATTCTCCTGCTTACTACAGTTCAATAGCTTCAGTTAAAATCCTATCCATTTCACACATGGCCTTTAGGCGCTGGCCCTACCTTGCCTCTCCTGACTTGTCATTTACACAACAGCAATCACTGAAACCCCTTTCCATCTGACTAAAATATCCTTTACTTCCTCCTGCTCCTTTCCCCCTTTTGTCATACAAACTCATAACTCATTTGAAGTTTCTGCTTAGATGTCACTTCCCCAAACAAGGCTCTAAAAGCTCCTCAAATCCAGATTAGGTTTCCTGCCACAATTCTTTATTGACAATTCTTAGGACCTGTAGCCTTGTCTGTGCCATATCTTTAGGAAGGGATGGTTTCCCCAGCACCTAGCAAAGGGCCAGGAATGTGAAAAATACTAAAAAATATTTGGTAAAGAAAAAAGTCAGAAGTCACAAAAATAGGAGTATAGGGCATTTGGACAGTCATAAATAGGAAGATTTAGGCCTTAATTCAGGGTTAGGCTCACAGTAATGAAAAAAATTATTGGGGTCATGGTAAAAAGAAAGGTAAATAGAATGCTAATAAATCTGAATTCTGAGTTAACAAAATTTGGAATACAGTTTCTAAATCCTGGCTGATCATCAGGATCATTCAGGGAACCAGGAATTTTTTTTTTCTCTTTGACATGTTTTAACTTCCCCTTATGTCATTCTGTCATAGCAACTGCCTTATGTTTAGGAATTAACACAATGGTCTGTAAGGCCATTTCCAGCACTAATGTTCTGATTTAAGAAAATTATCAATGAACAAGTAACTGACAGGACTTGATAAATAACTTAATGTAAGCCTAGAAGGGATGTATTACTCTCCTTAAGTTTCAGGCTGGTTAACCTGGAGTCACAATTTAAATATAACAGGGAGCCAATAAAATACTTGTTTAATGAATGAAACAGGGAAGCAGGAAGAATGAGCACATTTTGTAAGAAAAGATAGATTTGATGTTCAAATCTATGTTTCCCAGCTGACAAATGAACAATTCTCTGTCCTCTGGAACTATCTCAACAAAACTCTCCTCCTTCCTGCCTTATTTGGGTGTCTATCCTTGGCAATGCTGTTTGAGTTATTAGAGAGACTATCACTTCCTTGAGGAACAGCAAGATTTCTCTTTAAAGAATTACCCTCCCCAAGATATAGTCTTGTTGGGACTATAAGTCAGATCTTACCCTAAGCTAAGACAAAGGAGACACTCTTCTTCACTTTGAAAAGTTAAGTAAAATATCCCTAAAGTAGAGAAATCCATTGGTATTCATCCATTCTTGCAGTGGCATTCAGTTCATTCTGCTTCCTAGATTCCTGTGCTGGCCTGGCTTTTGTCCTTTCAACTCATTCTTGTTCTTAAGTCTTCTCTTCAATTCTGTGAAGTACCCAGTATTGTAGTAAGTCCTCTTTTGGTTTAATAAATCACTTCAATATCTGGCACTTACAAACAAATGAACAAAAGCTTATACTTAATATACTACCTGCATTGTCTCATTGCATAAAAAAGCTCTTTCTTTTGCTCACCCCAGACACTTCTACTTAAGCTTCTGCACCAGGAAGGCATGTACAAAAAAGAGAAGAAATACCAGCCACACATGTAATTTTGAATTTTCTAGCCACATTAAAAAAACTGAACAGATGAAATTATTTTTAATGCTTTATTTCAACCAGTGTATCCTAACTAGTTTTATTTCAACATGCAATCAATATGAAAAATAACTGAAATATTTCACTTCTCTTTTCAGTCTAAATCTTTGAAATGTGGTATGCATTTTACACTTTACAATTCAGACATTGGAAAGTTTCAAAGGTTAAAATAAAATGTAGTGCTTCCAAAACAGTAAAGCTGTGAATACAGAAAATACTTTGCAATTACTTTTGAAATTTGAATTAACTAAAATTAAATATTCCTCAGTGAAGCAGCCATGGTTCAAGTGCTGAGTAGCATCTACACTACTGTGTAGCTACAGAAGTAAGAGACTCAGAAACAGACTTCTTGATGAATCCAGTAGTTGGCAGGAATTGGACGCTTTCATACTTCTAACAAGTTCCATTATGAAATGAGTGTGAAGACAAATTCAAAATATTTCTTCCCCCAAAACAATGTTTCCTTGGCTGTACAACTGCAACAGTTTAACACATTATTGTGTGACACCTATCCTGTTATCTTTTATTCAGCAGCATTAAGGAGTTATCTTCCTTGTCACAGAAGTTAGATGCAAAGTTAGAATTACACTATTACTCTTAAATCACTTCTCATTTATTACATTTTGAGACTTTGAGGACTCATTTTAAGTATTTTCATTGTCAAATAAAAATATAGAATTTTGAGTGACAGGTTTAAGCATTTGAACTTTATTCCTCAGATGATAACATTTATTATGAATTTGTAAATAAAGGTGTGACATTTTAGGAAAAGAATTCAGAATTCAGTGTGCAAGTAGGTTGGTAACAAGAGGAGTCCGCCAGAAAGGTATGGAGCTTCTAGATTCCTTAGCTAGTTGTATATATGCTTTTACTTATTCCAGGAATGCTGTTTTCCTCTTCTTAGGCAAATGAGACATATGCTCATCCTTCAAGATCTAATTCAGTCACCTCCTAGTTTCCTGAATGCAGCTGGCAGACTGAGTAGTCTTCACCTCTGCTCTCACAGCACTTCTTTCAAAATCCTGAACAGGAGTCAAATTCATAGAGACAGAAAGTAGAAGAGTGGTTCTAAGGGGCTGAGGAGTTACTGTTTAATGGGTACACAGTTTTGGTTTTGTAAGATGAAGAATTCAGAGGACAGCTGGTGATGGCAGTAGTACAATTGTGGGTATGACTACAAGTTAGCCTTTCCCCAAGCTAACTCCCTCACTTTCAGATCTAGCTTAAATGTCACACCATTTAGGACTCCTTTTTTGCTCTAGTTTGCTAAGGCCAGTCTAACAAAATACTACAGCTTGGGTAGTTTATATTATTTTCTTAACAGTTAAGATCAAGGTAAGAAGCTATGGCTTCTCCTGAGGTTTCTCTCATCTTGCAGATGGCTTTTCCTTTATGCACACACTGTTGTGTCTATGTGTTCAAATTCTCTTCTTATGACACAGAGCTGGGGTGTGCAGCTCAGTGGTACAGTACTTGCTTACCATGTGTGAGGCTCTGGGTTCAATCCCCAGGACAACAACAACAAAAAAAAACAACAAAGGATATCAGTTACACCCTAAGTCTTCCCTTTAAAGGGCCTATCTCCAAACACACTTTGAAGTAATGGGGGTTAGGACCTCAATATATGAAGGAAGGGTATTAAATCAGTCTACAACAGGTGGTTAACCTCTATTTACTCACTTGGTAGTCAGTGGCAAGGACTTTGTCTTGTTCTCATTTCAGGACCTTCTGTACTATACCCTCTTCTTAGAGCACTACCTCCAACTCTTCATACACTATCATCTGACAAAGGCCATCCTGTACATTATATCTAAAATAATCATAAAACTCACTATATTACATCTCCTTTGTCTTCCTTCCATGAAACTCACGTTTTTGTATACAGAATGTTAGCTCCAAGAAAAGGGTAGTAATGTGTTTATGCACTGTTGTATTTTAGTATCTCATGGTTATGAGTGACTGAGTTTCTGCAACCACTTAACAAAATTGTCTTTATTTACTTTCACTGAGAAAACCTGCAGTGTTTTTAATTCAGAATGCTTTCTGAATCTCAGTTTTAACATTAATGCAGTAGGTTCCTTACCCCTCCTGGGTCTCAGGTTCCCCAATACATGACAGCAAAACCTTCTTCCGGATTCTTAGGAGGTAAGATACTCAGGTCAGAAAACTGACATGCAGTGTGTGCTATTACGTTGAGTGTTTTTCAAAAGATGGAGCCTGAAAATGGTATTTAAAAAAAAAAAAAATGTCTTCAGCAGGGCACCGGTGGCTCATGCCTGTAATCCTAGTTACTTGGGAGGCTGAGATCAGGAAGATACAGGTTCAAGGCCAGCCCTGGGAAACTTTGTGAACCCCCATCTCCAAAATAACCCCAGCGGAACAGACTGGAAGTGTGGCTCAAGTGGTAGAGCACCTGCTTTGTAAATGTGAAGTCCTCAGTTCGAACCTCAGTCCTCCCCCCACCCCCGCCAAGTCTTTGGGTGGTATGTAGAGCATTGACCAATAAAGCTTAAAACTACCGTCTTTTCATGCTCTTATGCCTTTGACGCCCTTCCCTGCCTACTGTTCTTGCTATTTTTCCTATTTAACAGAGACCACGTTTTCCACTAATTGTAGCATAAAAGGGCCATTCTGACTGCCTAGATTGACAGCCACCTCCGTCACTCGGGGACTGAGCCAGTGTAATGACACGAGGGCCTCAAGCGTAAAGCGACCGGGAATGAAGGGAGCTCGCTATCCATATTTTAAAAAGAAAACCCCATTAACTAAAAGGTCCAGGCGGATGGCAGCTCTGGCCACAAGGTCAAAGGCCTCACTGGGATGGCCGGGCCACCGGAGGTGCACACCTCACAGGTGCCCGGCCGAGGCCCACGGGAGGCGACCACAGCTCGCAGCAGCCACGCCAGCGGGCCCCCTCCGCCTCCAGCCTCTCTTCACCCCCGTGTCGGCGGCCGGCGCCCTTACCCAAGCTCATCCGTGAGAAAAGCGTTCCTTCAGGCAACGCGCGGGAAGAGCCCCGCACACGCTCGCCCGGGAAACACAGGGGCGGGGCCGGGGGGCGGGGGCGACGCACATTACGTATGACGTCTTCCGACGCACGCGGCGGCACGCATGCGCGGTTGGCGCTCGTGGCCGGAACTGCAGCCAGCATGGCGGCCGAGCGCAAAACCAAACTGTCCAAGAACCTGCTGCGCATGAAGGTGCGGGGGATGCTGTGGAACCGGGCGGGAATGCAGAGCGCCCGGACTTCCAGACGTGGCCAGGGCCGAGGCGGCGGGCAGACGGGGCATTTGAGAGGCCCTAGACGGCCTCCAGCTCTCGTGTTCATTCACAGATTATAAACTAGGCAGACGCTGTCATGGAGTTGGGGTAGGATACGGGCGTACTCGCAGGTAGACAGTAAGGACACAGCTGCACCAGGTGCCGGCAATGGTGGAAGCACCGGAGCTCTGGGAACTTAGTAGGACTTCTCCCGGGCATTGGTCCCTGAGTAGAGGCTGGAGGTAAGTGGGACGATAGCAAGACGGCATGCTGAACTGAGGGTAAAGCGACTTCCCAAGTCTGAGAGGGAAGAAAGAAAGAGAAGGAAAACGTGGTGGTGTCCCAGAGCTAAAAGATAAGTCGAATGGCAGGAAAGCAAGTAGCAAAAAATGGGACTGGAAAAGTAGGCAGTAGTCACAACATACAGGGAATTTTAAACCAGATTGAGGATTTTTTTTTTCTTTCTTTATTTCAGTGCTCTATAGGAAGCTGTTGAGCACGGGGAACAGTCTTGTTAGCTGTGTTGGTCTTCGAGGTTATTCTGATCTGTGGAGAATGCATTGGTTGGTGTGGAAGAAAGGCCAGACAAGGCACAAAATTGCAGTCAGACCAGCTACGAGTTTCTGCTGATTGGGGTGAGGGTTGCAGTTGCGGTGGGAATGGAGAAGATGATAGCAGTTGAGCGAAAGTGAGTTGTCACCCAACTTTGAACAAAAAAGGTTTTTAAACTTGAAATTGAATGAACCCTATCATTCCAAAATGGGGGGGAAAAAAGGACACGGGTAGGTAAAATGAACACAGCGTTAAGATGGAGAAACAGCTGAAGTCTTAAATTTTTAGGTAATACTAATAGCAAATATTTATAGTCCTTGCTCTATGCAGACACTGTTCTAAGTGCTTTGTATATAAGAACTCATATGATTCACACAATAATCCTTTGAGATGGTTTACAGTCATTATCCTTCTTGACAGCTGAGGCAACTGAAACAGAAGTGGCATGCCTAAAGTTACACAGCTTATAAGGACTGGATATCTGGTTCCGGACCCCTTGCTCTGAATTATTCTTTTTACTGCCGGTCACTGAACACAACAGATGGCCCTTGACTTACAGTGCGATTATTGTTCCAATAAACCCATTGAAAGTCAGCAATATTGTAAAAATGCATTTAACACACTTAACCTACCAAATTTTTTATATTAGCCACATGGTACGCTGTCAGGTAGCAGTCATTTACCCTGGACATGTGTGACTGACTTGGGAGCAGTGGCTCAGCCACACCTACAGTATTGTACTGCATGTGGCTAACCCAGGAAAAAAGAATCCAAGTTTGGAGTACTGTTTCTTTTTTTTTCCCCTCTTTTTAAATTTAAATTTTATTTTATTCTATTGTTTTTACATTTACTTACATGTGTATACATTTTGGGGGGCCACCCCTCACCCCCGAAGTATTGTTTCTGATGAATGTGTATCACGTTCTCACCATAAAATTGAAAATGTGTTAAGTGGAGCCATTTTAAATTGGGGGCCATTTGTACTTACGGAGCTATACATCTTGTGTGGATTTTTCAAGAAAAGGAAGTAAGGTATTGGTAATGTTTTGAAAGTAAATACTCCATGTACAAAATTTGAATGGATGTAACTTGGAATGAATAGGACCACTGAGGGAGGAGGGCAAATTTAAAGACCTGGAGTTTGAAAAGTACTTGTTTTATGCACAATGAATCTTCACTGAGCAGAGGGGTTTTTTTTTGTTTGTTTTAAATGGTTTATAATTGCATTGATTTCCGAAAAGTGGAATGAATTGACAGAGAGGACATTGAAAAGATTCTTGAAATGAACCAAATAAAGATTTGCTGGGCTCAGACTGAAGATCTGACTCTGAAATTAAGAAGGAAGAAAACCCACATTAGTAGTGAAGATTCATCTGGACATTAACAAGCACAGAAAGGAGGAGGGGCTGCCTGGGTTCTGGATTTGGATTGGCAGCTTTAGGCATTAACAAGAAAGCTCTTAAGTGCAAGACAGCAGGAGACACTGTACAGATAGAGCCAAGTGTCCTGTGAGAAGGTGTGAAGCAGCTGTACTTAGTGTGTTGTAGCCATTATAACTGTTTAACCAGAGCTAAGTATAGGGCATTTAAACCTGACTCATTTGTTTTCAGTACTCTTGAATTCCTCTGGCTTGGAATTTAGCTGTTGGGGGTGGAAGTGATCTTGATGGGAAGTAGAAAGAGAAGGATGTGGGTGGAAAGTTTGCCAGTATGATGGATTGGTTGTAGAGAAGGTGCTTATTTGTGATTTTAGCTCTTTTAGACCCTAGGACAGGTGGTCTTTTTCTGTAGAGTAAAATAGTAAATATTTTAGGCTTATAGGTCATCCAGTTGCTGTTGGAACCTCAGCTGTGCTATTGCTGTTCAGAACAAAATGAATATAACTGTGTTCCTCTAAAACTATATACAGCTGAGTGTGGTGACACAAGTAAGCCAAGGTAGAAGGATCACAGGTTTGAGGCCAACCTAGCCTATATAGCATGTTCTTGGCCAGCCTAGGCTTCAGAGCAAGACTGTCTCAAAAACAAAACGAAACAACAACAAAACCAAAAAAACTTTGTAACAACCAGTGTCTAGCCTGACAATTATAGTTTTCCAAACCTGCTCTTGGACCTTAGTTTAATGGAGTCCACATTTTAGTGTGTTCTGAGATGCTGTAGAGTCTGAAGAGGTACATAAGTATGGAGATTCATGTCCAAATGGTGTTCTGTCTTTTCCATATGTGTCAAATATATATATGACTGTATGCAATAAAGAATATCTACTTAGCTAAAATTGGGAGATAAAGTGCACTTGGGCAGAATTGGTGGTTTTTACCACCAAGAATGAATGATGAGATGCATTTAGAATCACCCAAGAAAGAGTCTGGAAAAATAAAATTAGTCTAGTTTCTTTTGCATTCAGAGGACCATTATTGAACTCTCTTTGTCTATCAGGTGAGGCCTAAGTACCAATAATGCAAGATGAGCCAAAGTGCTGGCACTGATTTTGTTCTGTTTTGACAGTTCATGCAAAGGGGACTGGACTCAGAAACCAAGAAACAACTAGAAGAAGAGGAAAAGAAGATCATTAGTGAAGAGCACTGGTTCTTGGATTTGCCAGAGCTTAAAGAGAAAGAGTAGGTTTATTAGAATCTAATCTATATTGGGACAGAAATCTATAAATTTGACTCATCATTCTAGTTTCTGAGTTAACCTTGCAGATAGTTTTCTAAAAACTATTAAACCTATAAAAGTTCTACATGAACTTACATTAAGTTCCAGCAATCAGATATGTGCTTCAGGCCTCATCAGTTTTGTTTCAGTAACACAGTTCTGCCAGGCATAGTGGTGTACATCTATAATCCCAGCACTCAGGAGGTGGAGACAAAAGGATCACAAATTTGAGGCCAACCTGGGCTATATAGTGTGTTCCAGGCTAGCCTAGGCTATATAGTAAGACCCTGTCTAAAAAGACAAAAAAACCACAGTTCTTCATTAGACTGAGCTTCTTGAGGCAGTTCACAAGTTTTATGTCTTTTTCTTGTCTTAATTGCGGACTACTACTAATACCACGCATGTAACAAACATGTCCTGAGTCTAGTATGATCAGGCACTGGGCTAAGCACTTCATATCCCTTAGTTAGTGAATCCTCATAGCATCCATAGCTGCCTACCATCATTCTGTCCATTCTGCAGCTGAGGAACTGTAGCTTAAGAGAGCACAATGTGCTCAGAGCCACCCAGCCAATCAGTGCTGGAGCCAAGAGAACACACAGGACAGTTTCCCTTCTACCTCTGAGCTGAACTGGTGCTCAAGACACAGTTTTGAATAAAGGAGGTAGACGTACCTCATCTGTTTATCTAAGTCCTTCTGAAAGCTATTTGTCATGTTTTCCTAATAATTTTCTTACCTTAGTAAGCTCTTTGCTGTGTTTCACTTAAACTTTTATCAAGTGACTAAAAATGCTATTTTCAGCCACATGTATATCTTTCCATTTTTTTCCCTGATAATTTATTTTTTGATTTCCCATATTATATTGCTTTTTTATTTTTCTGACAGTGTCTGGACCTTTCTGGAAGGTTAAATCTCCTGGAAAGCATCAGGAGAGATGAGAAAGGACTCTGTTTTCCCTATTTGCTGCTTTTTTTTTTTAATTTGCTTTAAAAAATTATTTTGGGCTATATTGAATTTTATATAGAAAAGTGATGAAATTCTTTTATATTTATACAAATATATTTTATATTTACATTTATATATACACATAGAATGTACATCGATCATATTCACCCCTCTGTTACTCTTCTTATCTTCGTTCTCCCTCTTTTCCTCCCCTCCCACTTCCCTAGTAGTCTACCTTTTACTTTTATGATCTTGGCTACATTATGTTGTTTTGTTTCCCCCAGCTTCCACAAAAGAGAAGAAATATAGCGATACTTGTCTTTGTGGAGCTAGCTTATTTTACTTAACACAGTGATCTCTAGTTTCATCCATTTTCCCATAAACAATATAGTCTCATTCTTCTTAATGTCTGAATCAAATTCCATTGTGTATACAGACCACGTTTTCTTTATTCAGCTAGCCATTGGTAGACACCAAGGCTGATTCCCCAATTTAGCAACTGTAAATAGTGCCATGATAAGCATGGGTATACAAGTATCTCTGTAGTAAACTGACTTGAGACTTTTGTACATATACCCAGAAGTAGATTGGTTGAATCACATGGGAGTTATATTTTTAATATTCTGAGGAATCTCCATACTGATTCCTACAGTGGCTATGCTAATTTTTCCCACTAGCAGTGAGTAAGAGTTCCTTTTTCCCCTACCACCTCACCAGCATTTGTGGTTTGTTTTCTTGATGATAGCCATTCTGGCTGGGGTGAGATGGAATCTCAATGTAGTTTTTTCGATTTACATTTCCCTAGTAGCTAAGGATGTATTTATTGGCCACTTGTATTTCTGTGTGTGAAAATATTCAGTTCATTTGCCCATTTATTGTATTGTTTGTTATTTTGGTGTTTAATTTTTTGAGTTCTTTGTATATTCTTAATATTAATCCTCTGTTGGATAAGTGTCTGGTAAAGATTTTACGCCATTCTGTAGGCTATCTCTTCACCCTGTCAGTTCTTTCTTTTGCTGAGCAGAACTTCTTAATTTTTTTTTTCATGGTCTAAAGTTTTTATTCAGATCATATTTTTAAAATTATTTTATTAGCACATAATTGTTGCATAGGAGAATACATTGTGATATTTACATGTGTGCTTACAATGTATCTTAGATTTACCCCTCCATCAGAGCTTTTTGATACAGTTTCATTTGTCAGTTCTTTCTCTGATTTCCTCAGCTATTAGAGTTCTCTTCAGAGAGTCTGCCTATTCCTGTATCTTGAAGTATTTGCCCCATGTTTTCCTCTAGTAGTTTCACAGTTTGAGGTCTTAAATTAAGGTCTGTGATCCATTTTGAGTGATCTAACTTCCGTCTTCTACATTTGAATAACCAGTATTCCCAGCACCACTTGTTAAAGAGGCTGTCTTTACCAATGTATGTTTTTGACACATTTGTCAAGAATCAAAGCAGGTCCGGGAATACTGGTTTATGTCTATAATCTCAGCTACTTGGGAGGCAAACATTAGAAGGATCAAGGTTTGAGGCCCACCCAAGCAAAAATGCCAAGACCCTATCTGAAAAATAACGAACGCAAAAAAAAAAGGGAGGTGGGGGCATGGCTCAAGTGGTGGAACATCTACTAGCAAGCACAAGGCCCGGAGGTCAAACCCCAGTACTGAAAAAAAAAGAATCAGTTGCTTGGGATTATTTCTGGATCTATTTCATGGTCTTATGTACCTGTTTTGTGCCAGTACCATGTTGGTTTTGTAGTGTAGTTTGAAGCCAGACATTGTGATACTTCCAGCTTTGCTATTTTTTCTCAGGATTGCTTTGGTCAGGTTCTTTTGTGTTTCTATATAAATTTTAGGGTGGTTTTTCCTATTTCAATGAAGAATGTCCTTGGAATTTTGATGGGGATTGCATTGAATTTGTATATCATATTTGTTAGCATGGCCATGTTAAGAATATATTCTGTCAGTCCATGAAGATGGGAGGTGTTTTGTGCAGTTTCTTTCTCATGTCTTCTACAATTTCTTTCTTCAGTGCTTTATAGTTTTCATTATAGAGATCTTTAACATTTTTGGTTAAGTTTATGCATGAGCTTTTGGTTTTGGGTTTTTTGGTTGTTGTTTTTGACACTGTTGTGAATGGATTACTTTCCTGACTTCTTTTTCAGCAAGTTCATTGTTGGTGTAGAGAAAAGCTTCTGTTTCTGTACATTGGTTGTATATCCTGCTACTTTCCTGAAAGCATATATCATCTCTAAGTCTTCTACTGTAGTCTTTAGGTTGTTTTAAATATAAGATGGTATCAGGAATTACTTGACTTCTTTCTTGTTTGTATCCCTTTTCTTTCTTTCTCTTGCCTTACACTCTGGCTAAGAAAGCAAACCCTATATTGAATAAGGGTGGTGATTGTGTACACTTTTGACACCTTCCTAACTTTAGAGGAAATGTTTTCAGCTTTTCCCCATTCGGTACAATGCTGGCTATAGGTTTGTTATGTGTAGCCTTTATTATGTTGAGGTATGAATCTTCTGTTCCTAGTTTCTTCAGGGCTTTTATCATAAAGGGTGTTGGATTTTGTCAAAGGCTGTTGATAACCGGCTTTGTTTCATCAGTCCTTTGTATTTTTCTTTCAGTTTCCATTTCATTAGTTTCAGCTTCTACTTCTTAAAGGGAGCAAGGTGTTGGTGAGGAAGGGAGAAGATGATGCCAGAGATAACATTAATGGAAGGGGTGGGGCAGGAAGGGACTGGGGCTGATGAGCCGCTGTAGATTGTTTTGTGTCTTAACTAAACTTGCTCAAAATCTTCCAGATGTTACTGAAAGGCAGGACAGTTTCTGTCTTGTTTTCAGCATTCTCCACCCCCCAGCCCCCAAACACAGCATATTGTTTCCAGGAAATGGCCTTTCAAGTACTTTCCTAGGAAGGTAAAGGATAATTTTGACCATCACTTAGCATCTTAGCCATGTCTATGTGAGCATCAGCCTAGGATATTAGCAGGAAGAGATGGCAGTATCCAACTGGACACTCAGATTGGTAATTTGAGGCAATCACAGTGGATGCTGCCCAAATGCAGGCATCCAGGATGTAGGGATCCCCAGGGACAGCACAGTGCTTCATGGCTCCTTAGTAGGAGAAATTTCCACTCCGGACCCTAACGGTCTGCGAGTGGGAGTGGTGACTGAATCCAGAGACAGGCTGTGAGAAGAAAGCATCTGAGAGGAGGTGCTACTGTGTTCAAGGGCTCCTACAAGAGCTATCACAGTTTTAGTTCCATTTCTTGCTTTACTTCATGTGCTGTGACCCTCGGAACAATGTTGGATAGTGAGAAGTGATGAGAGTGGGCATCCTTGCATTGCCAGATCTTAGTCAGGAAAGCGTCTATTTCTTACTCTTAGGTATGACTCACTGTGTTTTGATAAGTGTCGTGTATCGGTATCACAGATACTTCCTTCTTTTCCTCATTTGTTAAGGGCTTTCATCATAAATGATACTCAGTTTTGTCAAATTTTTTTTCTGAGATCATATAATCATTCTGTTAATGTACTGGGAATTATCTTGATTTCTGAATATCAAAACAGCCTCACATTTCTGATGTATACCTTATGTGGCCTAATTTTTAAATTCATTTTGCTAATATTTTATTAATGATTTTGTAGCTATATTTATAAAAGACACTGGACTATAAATTTCTTGTAATGTTTTTGGTTTGGGCCATAAAATGAGTTACAGAGTATTCACCAATCCTCTTCTCATTTCCTAGATTGTGTAAAATTGATTTTTCTTCCTTGAGTATTTGGTAAAATTCACCAGTGACGCCATCATGACCTGAAGTTTTCTTTGTGGAAAGATATTTAATAATGACTTCGGTTTCTTTAATACAGATAGAACTATGCATTGTTTTTGCTTTTGGCTTGATTTTTGCTTTTAGACAGGATCTCACTGTGTATCCCGGGCCTTGAATTCATGATGATTTTGCCTCAGTCCCCCCAAGTGCTGGGATTACAGACAAGCACCACCACACCCAGCTTCGTTTTCCACTTTAGGTATTTTCTACTAAATCCATCATCTCCTGGCTTTTCTTCTGTTTATGAGGGTTACATTTTCTTGCTTCCTTGCATGTCTGATAGTTTTGTGTGTGTGCACTCCACGTGTTAACATTGCTGACTCCTTGGTTATCAGTCTTCCTCATTAAGAGTGTTGAATTTTGTTCCATTAGGCATAACTTATCTACCAGTCATCTTATTTTCTGTTGTTGTTACTGGGGTTTTATAGCTTTTACTTTGAAGCTAAATTAGCCCTGCTCCTATCTAAGGTATGTCCTTTTCTGCTCAGTATCACAGCTTCATTTCTTTTCCCTGGCTGGACAGAGCACAGACATTTCCCTGTGCTGTGTGAGCACTGGTATTTGTTACAGAATAATGTGGGCTTTGGTATATTTGCAGGATAACTTTTCTTTCCCAGGTTCAATAGGCTGAAAATGACACCCCAAATAACACCTATCCAAGTCCTCATCTCTGGAACCTGTGAGTGCTACTTATGTAACAAAATTGACTTTGTTACTGTGATTAAATTAAGGATCCTTAGATGAAAGATTACTCTGGATTATCTGGGTATAATACAACATAAATACAATCATATGTTACCTTGTTATTAGTTTGGTTTTTGTTACTATAATGAAGTACCTAAAGCTGAGTAGCTTTAGAAAGAGAAGAGGTTTATTTAGCTCATAGCCCTGGAAGTTTCAGAACATGACACTGGCATCAAGTCAGCTCTGGCAAGGACCTCATGCTGGATGGCCCTTGTGACAGTGTATGTAGTGGAGGAAGAGGAAGCCAGAGACTCGGGTCACTCGTTCATGAAAACTGACTCCAAGAAACCAGTATTCCCTTCCAAGGCAACACCTTTTGTGATCTAAGGACCTAATCACCTTCAATGGCCTCACTGGGTGCCAAGCTTCCAGCCCATTAACTGTTGGAACAAGCCATAGCACATTGTAAGAGGGAGGCCCCGGGAGATTTGACTCACAGGCCGCTGGACTGACCTCCCAAGCAAGCAACTCTGGCTGCCACCAGAAGCTGGAGAGACATGGTGTGAATTATCTCCTAAAACCTCTGGTCGGATCACAGTCCCACCACCATCTTGATTTTGTACTTCTGGCCTGAAGTCCTGTGAGAGCGTGCATTTGTGATGGTTTAAGTCAGCAGTGTTGTAACATGTTGCTGCAGGCGCAGAAAGCATCTCTCCAGCATTTACTCCCCATGCTGTGAACTCGTCCTGCACCAGAGTTTAGCATTCATCCACAGATTCACAGGGACCCCAGAGCAGGCCCTGAATTCCTCTGGGTCTCCCTTTGTTCCTTATCCTGATCCTTGTACTCCAGCCACCTCTGAAGTCCAGAACTTGAATTTGACTCTGCAGGTAGCACCCCCAGGCTCTGTTCTTCCCTTCCCACTCCATGTGTGGAAACTGCCTCCAGGCAGAAAGCTGTGCATTGGCGGGGTGCATTTCATTTGGCTTCTTCATTCAGCCATCAGAACCCTGTGTTCTTTGACCTGTTCATTGTATGAAAATACTTATTTCATATTTTATCCTATTTTCTAGTTGGTTATGGTGTGGGGGGGGCAAGTTGTTCATTGCCAGCTTCTCCCTTGTATCTGGAAAGGAGTACGTGCTTTAATTTCATCCACTGTGTGATAGAAATGTTTTCTATATTTTCTGTTCCACTGTCTGGACTGTAGCCTCTGAGAGCCTGGCTCTTTTACTCTTGAGGCTGGTCCTGTGCACAAGTAGGTCTGTAAGTGTCTGCTGAGACTGCCTCCTCAGGAGAAGCAGAGCCTGCCCTTCACCAAGGGAATCACAGGGCCAAGTATTTGTTTTCCTGGCATGCTTTAGGCTTGTTGTGAGATAGAGACAGATGTGCTCACCTTGTACTTGAGACCATGAACTGGTAACTCAGGAGAATCCTGTTGGAGCCAGTGACTTCCTGCTTCTGAGGCAACAGTGGCACTGTGGTGCCTCTGGCTTCCAGCAATCAGCCCCACAGCAGCAGGTTAATTCTAGAGCATGATTTAGTTTGGGTCACACCACCTCACCGCATTATCCCTGCCCATTTTCCAATTCTGCTCACTCCACTTCTTCACTGTCCTTAATAATAAAGTCCTTCTCTGCTCAGGTCATCCAGGGCCAGTCTTCAGTCTTTAGTGTTGATAACTAAGAGCTCTGACCAATACACTGTGTAAGCTGCCTAGCCTCCAATATCCTTCTGTCTTCCTGGGTGTTTATTGTTTTTTATTCTCCTGGATATTTAATAAGAACTCAGGTGGGTGTAAAAATCAAAGATATTTTGTTTCAGCTATTTAAAACTTAAGTTTATTACAAATACTTTAGTTCTTTACATTACGTAAGTACTTACATGTGGTGTTCAGAAGAGACCATGCCTCCAGCCTGTAGCTCTTGTCTCCTGATGCCTTTGCTGGCCAAATTAATCAGGTCTTATTTATTTCTAATTCTTGGTTAGAAATCTCACTATATTTTTACTGGAGCCTTCTGAGAACCGTAAGATTGGCTTTCACTGACTGAGCTTTGTTGTGAGCAGACGTGCTGCTAATACAGGTTTGTTATCCCGTTTAGGAGTTTCATAACAGAAGAGCAGAGTTTCTTGTTGTGTGAAGATCTTCTCTATGGAAGAATGTCATTCAGAGGCTTTAACCCTGAAGTGGAGGTATCAAATGTGATTGCTTCAAATTGAAAATTTTTCCAGTTGAATTTTTTTCTGCCAATAATTGAGCTTTAGGCTTCTCCCCACCAAGTACCGTTTCTCCTCATTATGTAGAAAATCACAAGTCTCGATATACTGCCATAGCTATTTAAAGAAATTGCAGGCATTGCAGTCTAGTCTGATGGAAGAATTGAGAAGATAATTTAATGCAGCAGTATATGGTCCCTGATGGTGCTATTGTATTAGAATTTCAACTTGAATCTTTTACAGGAATGTCAAGATTTTATTCACATGATGCTGTTATGCAGTTGTTTTCTGGCATCTATACAGTATCATTTCTACTAGAAAAATGTTACTTAAAAATTGTATAATTTGACTTTGTAATGAGCAGGCTTTAATCCAAGCTTGTAAATAGGTTTTTAAGTGAATCCTTTGGAAAGTCTGATTGGCAAATGAATATTCACTTTGTAACTGAGGTGTTGGAATTTCCTGCCCCAGGTTTGCAGAAACATAGACCTTTATTTCACATGTTTATTAGAAATCTGGTACATATTTAAGAGCCCTCGTATCAGGTAGCTGACCATCCAAATGGACATTTGCAATATAAATCTTTAGTTTTGTAATACAGGCAGGTCATTCTTTGTGGTGGCGTCTATCCTGAGCATTGTAGGTGGTCAGCCTCCCTGGCTTCTGTCCACTAAATGCCAGTAGTACACAAATACTACTCTTCCACCCACTTGTGACAACCAAATATGTCTGCAGATTGCCAAATGTTCTCCACTGGGCAGAACTGTCCCCAGGTAAGAACCACTTCTCTAGGATGCCTCTAGAGAAGCACAGTTTACAAGCCACTGCCAGAGTTTATTTAAAGATGGTAGGCTGGGGGGTCAGGCATGGTGGGGCACATCTAAAAGCCCAGCTGTAGGGGAGGCCAGCCCCAGGCAAAAGCACGAGATTCTGTCTGAAAAATAAACAAAAGCAAAAAGGGCTGGGGTATGCAGCTGAAGTGACAAGACTTGCCTAGCAAGGAGGCACTGTGTTTAAACCCAATACAAAAAAAATCACAGGCACAGGTTAGCTTCCTTTTTTCCTTTTATTTAGGGGTGGGGGAGGATAGGGATATATGATAATGAGAGTGTTATATTTTCTTCACACAAAATCCACACTAACCATTTTTAGTTTTAATATATATTAAATGTATACTTTCTTTGCTCTGGTCTGCTTTAAGCTTTTGGGATTAAAAGAAGTTGGTGAGGTAAAAAGATAAAAAGGGCAGGGCTTATGAGTGTGCAGTATCCAAAGAACAAAGTTTGGGGTGGGCAACCCCCCAAAGTATATCTGGTACCATGGGGAAGGACAGGTGATGCAGCCTTCAGATTTTGGTTGTCAGAAAATGACCCTAGTTACTGAATTCTACAGTGCTGAATACACACTCTCTGGGAAAAGGTTTTGAGCTATTTTATTATCAGTCCTGTAAGTGTTAGAAAAATTAGTTGGGACTTTCATTACCTGCCTTCCTCATCCTCCCCTTGCTACAAAAAAGGTATTAAACCTTTTTTTTAAAAATCTATCAGAGGCTCTTACGAAAAGGTTAGTGAGAGAAAGAGATGGAGGAAAGAGGCTCTTGGCTAGGGGACATCCTGTGAGATACATTATCCACTCTGCAGTTTGCAGGAAGCCTAAAGTGCAGATTCTGTCCATCGTTCCAGAGCCAGCCTTCCACTTCCATCCTGAACTGGCTGCCCCTCCCCACCACCACCACCACCACCACCACCACCACCACCACCACCACCACGGGATGCCTTTAAAATTACTGTTGACCCAACTACTTAGCTCACATGGCTCAAAGTTGGGAAGTTCAGAGAAAATGAGAAAGTTCATGTTTTCTTTGCCCCTCTCACTGGAAGGTTAACAGTATGCCCACCTTAAATGAGTGACAAATAATAAGATATATGATGTGAAATACTGTTTAAATTCATTGACACTAACCACTGTCTGTTGAGCCTTTGTCCTACTATTCTTTGATTCAGAGCTGAGCTCTGTTAGCACTGCAGTATTACAGGGAATCCCTTGTAAATTTTGATTAGTCTTCTAGATTCTGTGACTTCAGTTTCTCTACCTTTTGTTTGATACCAGTTCTTTTCACAAAGCCTTTTTTAGCCCTGATGGTCTGCATTGGTGTTTTTCCAGAAACTAATGCTTCAGATGAATGCTAAGAGCAAACCAGAAGATAAAGATGAAGATGAAACAGTGGAGCTTGATGTGTCTGATGAAGAAATGGCAAGAAGGTACCTTGTTGCCTTGGATAGCTCTGTGGCCTGGGTTTGGCTCTCCCTCTGTCCACTTTTGACTCCAGGATCTACTGAGGCTTTAAAATGGGCTCCCCAGCAGGAGCCTGCAGTCAGCCTTACCTTAGGGCCTCAGGTGGTGTCACACCTAGGCACACTGGCACCGGCAGCACTGGCTCTTACTCTTATTGTATTTGGCTTGATATTTTTGACAAAAGTTGCTTTCTGCTTTTTTATTTGAAATTAAATTGTGCTGTATATCATCTTAACAGATATGAGACCTTAGTGGGGACAATTGGAAAAAAGTTTGCCAAGAAGCGGGACCATGCCAACTACGAAGAAGATGAAAATGGAAACATAAAACCAATTAAAGCAAAGAAGATGTTCTTAAAGCCCAAAGATTAAAATAGCTGCCTGAACACAGGGCTCGGGGATGCCTGTGAAAGCAGTGTATTGGGGCTCAGCCTGATGGTGTCCCGGTAGTTGTTGACACTGTAATGTTCATTTGTAAAGAAGCATACAGTTTGGAAGCATGCTGTTTTTGAAACAGATGTTGATGGATGTTATACATCCTTTTCCTCATGGTGTTCATCAGTAGTGGAATTTCAGTTCTGATCTTCAAATGTGCCTAGGCACATTTGCCTGAAATTGTCTCACCTCAGAATTTATATGTATGTGTAGTTCTGCAGTCACTGATCTTGAATTGGCTCCTGTACACTAATGCCATTGTTTAAATTGTCCTTATGTTTATATTTTACTTTAAATTACTAATCATGTCAAGCCAATTCATACTTTGATTTTGGAGTCAAAAATCAAATGTCATCAGAATTTTTGTATGTAAATTCATCAAGAACAAACCTGCCTCTGGCCTGTAGTGTTTGCATTCCACCCCACCAGGTTGACCTCTGTTTATACTGGTATGGTTTTTTTTATTAAAGCATTTAGTTTTCTTTTTCAGTGTTCTGTAATAAACATCTGTTTTCACTTAAATTTTCTATTTTCTTATACTTTCAAATATTAATCTAATTCAGTAATACAACTTTTAAAAACTAGCCATTAGTTTGGAATATAGTGATATGTTAGGTTGAATCAGAAGAAATTGCCCTTTATGGATCAAAAACAATTGTCAATATCCTATGGTACAGCCCGATAGAATTTAGCAATGACCATACTGTCTTCTGGTTTGAGCCCTAAACACTAACTATGTGAAACTAAGTGTGTGCGTGTCAGCCTAGACGTACTGAAAACTCTGAGAATTACTGATGTCATTTAATTTTCCTCCAAGCAAATAAATGAGGTACATGTCTCCTCTCTCCCTGAATCTGTTGCTCTGTGATTCAGTTCTCTGGCAAGTTATGAAAAAAAAAAATGTGAATTTGAAGAATCTGGCTCCTTTTTTCATTGTGAGAGTGAGAACAATGCCTTCCCATTTTCTTCATCTTGGAGAGATGCAGCTGGAAGTTCTCAGGTCTTAGCAGTACCACCATCCACTAATTGGATGTGTTAGACACCCATGACATTCATCATGGCATTGCTTCTGGTCCAGGAACCCATTTCTCAGTAGAGGAAGTGAGGCAGTGGGTTCAGAAGCCTCCGTAATTTCCTGGTCTTACCATGTCCCCCACCCAGGAGGAGTGGGATAATAGATGGCGGGACGGTCTGCTGAGGCCCCAGTTAAGGCACTGGGTAGCGTATGACACTACATTGAGGAAATGAAATTATGCTTTGACTAGTGACCACTGCACGGGGCTGTTGGGCACAATGTGTGGTCCCGAGTCAAGCAGAGGGAGGAGGAACTCCTCTTCCTGCTGCCTCGGATGGATTCCCAAAGGAGGGGTGTTCCCAGCAGAGGACACAAGTGTTCGTTGAGGTGGAAGTTGAGACTGATCATTTTACCACTAAGCCATCAGGGAAGGAGTGCATCTACTCTCTTGGCTGGTGTCAAGGATCTTAAAGTAGGACTGTGGCCAAATTTTAATTGGAATTAACAAACTCAAGAGTTAATAGTGTGGCTTAAACTGATAGGCTGGCTGCTACATTTCTCATTTTGGAGAAAGGATATCTTTTGTACAAAGGACATCACAGCTCATTAAGTGAAATAGAGATGTTTCTTTCACATCTGTAATCCTAGCTACTCAGGAAGGTGACGTCAGGAGGATTGCAGTTGAAGGCCACCCCGCGAACAGTTCTGTGGACCCTCATCTCAACCAATAAAAAGCTGGATGTGGTGGTACACTCCTGTTACCCCAGCTACACGGAAAAATAGGAGTGTGGTTTAGGCTTACCTGGGCATAAAAGCAAGACCCTATTCAAAAAACTAAAGCAAAAAGGGCTCAACACAAAGCTCTGAGTTCAAACCCCAGTACCAAAAAGAGTTTCTCTTGTTGCAGGAAGCTTATGTTTAGAAGTACTTTGTGTGGATGCTGAATGGCCCAAGGGCTGGACTATAGCAGATACTAAGCTATTCCTTCTCATACTTGAACTTGTCCTCACTACAGTCATCCTTAGTATACATGGAGGGTCAGTGCCAGGACTCCCAAAGGATATCAAAATCTGAGGATGCTCAAGTGCCTTACAAAATGATTGTGGGGTTAACAGTGAGGACAGCCATATTAGGACCAGACCTCCTCCCTTGCAGGTGGCTTACTGGAAACTTCCCCATCTGACCCCAAAGACTGACAAGTGGACAGTTGTTAACCTTTATCTCAAGGTGGCTGCCAAGGACAGTTGAACAGACAGTGACCTGGCCACAACTAATCTCTTTTGGTTGCCCAGCAACAGTATTCTTTAGTGACCTTCCTGGTACTTTTTCACTAGCCTCTTTATCTCCCCCAAGCCTGTGTATGGCAGCAAGCTCGAGCTCTCTTGCTGGAGATCCCCCCTCCACAGACTCCCAAATATAGCCTGTGCTGATGTGAAGCCATCTCCTGTCTTTCCTTCCGTGCCTCTCTTCAGTCTAACAGTGATGTAATATTTGCATATAACCTTTGCCTATCCTCCTCTATAAATCATCTCTAGATTACTTGTATTTAATACAATGTAGATTTTATCTGAATAGTTGTGATAGTATATTGTTTAGGGAATAATGACAAGTCTACATGTTCAGTACAGATGCTGCTTCTTTTTCTCCTGAATAGTTTTGTCCCACAGTTGAATCCACAGATATGGAACCCATGGATACAGAAGTCTGATTACTGTCTGTGACTAAGCAATTTCATCTCTCCTATGCTTCCGTCTGAGATTTGCCAATGGCCCAAAGAAGTGGCAAAGCTAGAGGAATAAGGCCTTAGTCCTTTCTGTCTACTTCCTCTTTGCTTTCTATTTATTGCGCTCAGAACACTTTCACCCCGGCAGAGGCTGGCATTCCAGTGATAGCTGTTAATGTCAGCTTATAGGCTCCCAGCACCTGCTAAACAGTCCTGTAGCAACGTCTCAACACCAACAAGCACCCGGTTCCTGTGCCCCAGACATCCATCCAGTACTCTGGCCTCCAGGCCTCTCACTCAACTCTGAGGCACTCACTGGGTGCACCCTCTTTCCTGAGGGTGGCAACTCTTTTAATTAGTCTTTTTTAGTTCTCTAGTGCCCAATTAACAATTCTTTTTATTGGATTTCCCTATAAAATAAGGCTGATGGGCTTAAGGCAAAGTATACTAAATTGGTCTGTTGATTATTTCAAGCTCAAATTGCTTGAGGAACTCTTACTTCAGAAAGAGTCATTTTAGCCCCTCCTGAATGCAACAAGTCATAAGGATTCTTTGGGGAGGGGTGTCTGTCACATAGCAAGTCTGGAAAATAACCTTGGCCACCAGACAGTGATAACTAGTACTGCAGTGAACCTGAATCAAACTGAAGTGACTCTCATCTCTGCCCTCCTCATACGTCTCTTAGTAACATCCCTACCCCATTCCAGGTCGTCATTTGTCCTGCCATTCCTTTGCAGGTTTAGTCTTTGTCTAAATAGTAGAGAAGCATCATTCTTTGGTCATTTCTGCAGACTTCACTCTCTTGTGAAGATCCTCATGGACAGGCAAATATATTTTTTTTAAATCTTCATGCTTTTATTAATCAGTTCTTGCATTAATTGGGCTCCTAGATTCAGCCTCCTCCCACCAAAAAAAAAAAAAAAAAGAGAAACTATAAGAATTAAGAGAAATACAAGGAAGTCCCTCTTTTCCCCTGCATTGGTTTTTTTATCTCTTGACTAGATTTTGACTGATACAGACTTATTCTAAAGCAGTATCTGTGAAATTATGGGTTTGGTGGACTTGAAATGCTTATTTCTCCACTTCCTGCACATTTTTCTCACACAACCAGTGGTTAGCATACCACTATTAGAAAGTGCTCTGGGGCACAGTATTTTCTAAATTCTATGACTGGATTGCCAAGTCACTCTGTCCTTCTTTGTAGTTGCCCAACTACTGTGAGGAAGGGGCTGTTCATTTGCCCCTAGCCCATGTGAAAAATTTCAATAAATGATCTTTTGTCTTTTTTTTTAAAGACAAGATCTCACTATATATGTAGCCTAGGCAGGCCTTGAACTCAGCACTCCAACTGCTAGCATTACAGGTGTGTGCCACCACGCCTGGCATAAATGTTTCTTTTGTGAATGAATAAATGAATAGGACTTGGGATAGTTTGGAAGCCAACTGGTCCATGAAGCCAGTTTAAACCACAGTGTTGTGCAAATAAAGACCAAATGAGAAAAGCAAAGTCTATTTATTCCGAGCTTGCTGCAGCAAAGGAGTCAGCCACCATTTCTTGTGTTTTGGCAGAGCCTCAAAAGCAGGCAGAGGAATGGGAATGCTTATAGTCTGAAAAATGGAAGGTGCAGGTGTGGTCTGATTGGAGCTCTTGGCATGAGAAAGCTGGAGGCAGGTTAATTACTTGTACTTAGAAGCAGGACACCTTGTGTGACTGGTTAGAAGTGCTTGGTCCTGAACAGGAAGCAGGAGCAAAGATTCCAGCTGTCAGTAAGTCCTGGCCAAAGGGACAATTTATGGTTTCAGAAGTCATTGGTTAGTTTCCAAGATTGTCACTAAAGATAGCAATCTGGCTTTCTGCAAGTCTGACTTATGTAGAGGACTGGCTGCCTGGGGTTGTTGACTGTAGATAAGGGGCTACCAATCATTAATCAAAACTCTTCCTTCCTTTCTTTCCTTTCTTCCTTCCTTTTTTCTTTGAGACAGGTCTTACCATGTAGCCTAGGCTGGCCTGGAACTAACAATGCTCAGTCACCCCACATAATCCCAAGTGCTGGGATTACAGATGTGCACCATCATACCTTGCTTTTATCATATTGGTCTGGCCATTATCCATTTGCATCCTCATCTCCCAGTGCTTTGGCTTATTTCTGATCGTACGATAGAATGACAACCAGTTGATCATGTGACTGTGGAGATGTGCACCCACTTGAAACAGAAAGATGCTGTTGACAGGTTATGGATGTTTGTGGCTCCAGCTGTTAGTGGAGGTACCTGTTCTGGAAGTAGTTACTGTAGCAGTTAGCACCTCAGAGACAAGGCCACCAAATCAGGTGATGAAAGCCATTGCCATCCAGACCTTGGGGAGGAACAGACACCACAGACTAATGTATATACAGTGCAGTTCAACGTGTAATCATTCAACTCATACAACCATCCATTCACTGGCATTGACTGATGAGCTCTGTCAAAGTGAGGAAGGCGAAAATAGGCACATTAAGGCTTGAGAACCAAAAGCCAGGTGCTAAGAGTGAGCACTGCATTAATAGGTAACTTGAAGTGTCTCACTCCCCATTAGCTACAGCAGCTGGCCATCCTATTAACTTTGCATTAATGATTTGCTCACAGTTCTGGAGAAGTATGCCCTGTGTGGCTATCTCAGGAAAACATCAGGCAAAATGCATCCTTGAACTAAAAGGAAACCTTCTTAAGGGAAAAGAAATATCTAATGATGGGCTTTTCTGCCCTAAATAAATATCTTCTGAAAGAAAGCACCTAGTAGATTCCCAAACATATATGACCCATGTCAATTAAGAAGACTTGGTATCTGGGAATCCCAAACTCATCAGCTTCAAAAACATAAGGTACAGTGAAGGAGAGGTGTCACAGCAAATTATTAGATTCCAGATGGTCAAAGCGAAGAAGCATGCACAGAAATGTAGACCCTGTGACTGACTTGAGTCGTGTAAATATGCCTTACACGAAGACTTCATTTCTCATGTGCCCACATCTCTAGCCTATTGGGATGTGACATCTCTTGCTTTCTGATTTACTAAATAAAACTACTTTCTTCTTACCTAACTAGACTGACCTGTGAATTCTTTCCTGTGATGATGCCACAAACTCAGCATAGGTACCATGAAGATAGCACCCCATCACAAACTTGGCACCCCAGATTGAGGCTATGCTTTCTGGGAACTTCCCTGGGC